TTGGCTTTGAAGTGCTCTTACCTGCTGACGTTCGAACAGCGTCATTGCAGGACAGCCATGTTTGGCCGTTGTTTTATAAAATTTTTATCTTCTATAAAATCTCTATTTTAAAACTACTTCTCTATGCTGCAGAACTATATTCTATAGCAGATTCTTTCATATTTTTAATCTATTATAGTTTTTCAATCTTCTACAGCTTCTCTGCAATAATATACCTGTTATTTACAATTTGCTATAAGAAACAAGACATGTTTTAAATAACATCATTCTCTGACTCTTGAGTAATTTACATCTAATCACTTATTAAACACCTTTTTTACAATGTGCAGAGCTTGTTATAATCACTGTATAAGTATCAGAACTTGAAAACACTTCAGCAGTACAGCTTAACTCTCTGTAAAATCTTTATAATCTGTCTCTAAGACTTCTGTAGAATCTCTGTAAACATTATAAATTTAACTAGTCTTAAAATCATCTGAATCTTTAGTTTTATCTTCAGAAGAAAACAGCAGTTCTGTGAAATTATCTGCATTTTCTACAGAGAAACTGTAACTTTTACTCTCTCTTATACTTTTTTTATAATATTTACAGCTAATGAGATTATCTATTTCCTGTTAAACTCACAGTCAATATTCTCTATTTTCTGAATTATATTATTACAGAATACACAGTTCTGATCTTTGTTATCTTACAGATATATATTATGAATAAAATATTATTTAACTGAATAATTAAGTGACTAAGTATTATAATAAGAAATCATTCTCCACAATCTCATTAGCAGTTTTACATGCGGTTAGAAGACAGTTGTGAAAGGTGTAAAGCTCACTTAATTAAAACATTGCTGACATGTGAGTAGACTAGCCGCTAGAACTATGAATTTCATGTTTGATTTCATTTGATCTGATCTCATAGATTTCTTGGCATGAATTCTACTGAGACTAATTACTAAAAAAACATGCAAAGTGACTATTCATCAGATCTCAAAATGAAATCATGACTTAGAAAAAATAAGAAAGTGATTTCATTTAGTCTCATTTAATCTCATTCTTAGTATAAAGTTACTATTTTTAAACATTTTAAGATTATTTTTAGACTATTTTTAATTTTTTCAAAAGTAATACTTTTTAATAATACTTAAATGAGATTTAAAGTTATTTAAAGTAATAAAAAGAATTTAAATTGAGAAGTGAAAATTATAATCTTATTTAAAAAATGTAATAAGAGTAGACAGTAAGTCTTACTGAGATAGTATGAAACTACTATCTAATTGTAAAACTGTGTAATGAAATCAATTAAATTAATTATGAGATTATTAAATATTCTGATTCTGGTCTCAGACACAGTCACATAGTCAGTCTACTTGTGTGAAGTTATATAATGAAAGAATTAGTAAGTCAGAGTACATAATCTGACATTCTTACTCATCAGAGTAACTATACATAATACTACATATAAAATTCACCTTCAAATCAAGTACAGGTATAAAAAATGACTGGAAAACTATTTCTCTATTTCTCTATCTCTTTATCTTAATATTCTTCTTTCAACGCGTATACCTCATCATTTCAAGTGGTCTAGTCTGCTCATCCGCCGCGTTCTCAGCAGATGAAATATATCAGATAGATATCTCATTCTTATAAATAAGATTCTGAAGAATGTGAAAACATATCTCTATATACTTTGAGCTGTGTGAAATTGCTTCAGAAGAGAATAGCTCTATAACAGACTTATTATCAGTATGAATTATATAAGTAAGAGCATTGACTGTGATAAGAATGAAGTAATTATCAGCATTCAGATTATTAAGATAAGATGAAATGAATTCAGCATCTTCTAGAAGCTCGCAAAGACAGACAAGCTTATAGACAGTCTTAAAGAATGCAATATATTCAGTCTCAGTTAATGATTTAAAGATCTCAGTTTATTAGCAGCTCTGTCATGCAACAGAGTCACATGTTATACAGATGATATAATCAGTGATTGAATGGAATTCTGAATCTCTACTGACTTTATCAGTATCTGTGTATATCACAGATTTAATATCAGCATCTCTGTGATAAATTATACTCTCATTGATTAAACTCTGTCGATATCAGAGTGTATATTTGAATACGGCTACTATGTTATCAGAATGAGTGTCACGGATAAATATATTCAAGACATATAAATCTTATATGTATCAAGATCTGCTTATTATATTATTTATACACTATCTATTATAGCTAATTGCATACAAAAGATAGAGCTATTTAGAGTAAAATAAATATATAAGTGAAGAGATCTAGTATAAGTGAGTATTAGATGAGTATTGTAGTAAGCTGATGATAATGAGAAATATTGTAGTAATATGATGTTAGTAGTATTCAGTAGTATATAATGTCATTTTCCTGATACATATCAATCTGCAGAACATGTCAACTCTGAAATACTGAGATTGCTATGAGAGCTCAGAAGGTGAATGCAGAGATAACAGGTGTAAAGACTCTTAAGTAATTAATTCTCCTCTGTTGATAATTTTCACAGATAACTCAGTAGGTCTTATAGCAGATAATCTTACTCATATTATTGAACTTTTAATTATATTCTTATTGACTGTGAAGAACACTTATTTATGATGTTCTCTTAATCAGTTATTAGATCTTAATCTGTTTTTGACAGTTGATCTCTTTAACACAGGTCTTGTAATAATATTTTCATTTCATAAAAGCTTTGATGTATATGAGATTTTTTGAGATCAAAAGTGCAGCAATCTTGAGATTGAAAGATAGATCTTTGTAACTGTTTCTCACTGAAGATTTTCTCACTATAGTAATATCTCTTGTAAATGTTAGAGAGTTATCATATTCAACTGTGAGTTCTGAGAAGATCAGTGTATTCTGCACTAAAAAGATAGATATTCTCACAGAAATTTTATAATCAATTCATCAATTATTAGTGAGTATAAGAAATAATGAACATCTAGGTTGAATAATCTCATCAATGAACAGATCATTAATTGATGAGTCAGAACTCACTGAAGAAATCTCCGTAGAAATTATTGCAGAAAGTACTGCAGTCTCTTAACAGGCCGCAGTGAGTAGATCGGATATTAAGGAAGAAATCACTGCAGCTACTTTAGAGGACGCATTGAATAGAATCTTCAGATGGTGTGTTATCAGTATTAATAAATCAGCAAGATGAAGATTCTTGTGAAAGATGACATCCTTTGATATATATAAATGCCTGTTTAAGAAATCAACAAATCTATAATTGAGAAAATCATCATATCTTACAAATATTGACTTCTTGAAATGAGAGGCTATCTTATTAAGGAGCTTGAAGACAATCTTTAAGAATGCTTTGCAATGTCATCAGTAAATGTCACATGCAGAAGATAGAGCTTCAAGTCAGATCTTATATAAAGTAATCAGCTTTGTATTTTCATGACTCTTATATAATATAGTTGAGATTGATATAAGATTAAGCAGCTCTGAAACTGTAATAACTGCCATATCTCACATCTTTGCAGAATTGAAAGAGTCTATTAATAGTGATCAGAACTTTTCAATAATTAATTCAATTCATTGTTTAAATATTTTATCTTACTGTGAAGTATGAGAGAGAGTTAACTCTCACTTTATTTCTTCACTGAGTACATATACTGTGACTATATTTGAATTCAATTCTTCATAATCTGAATGAATGATTGTAATCCTACAACTCAGTAGATTCTTTATAAAGTAATTACAGATCTGTAGATATCTCAATATTTCATTCTTGTATTTCAATAGAAATATTCATCATATATAAGTAACATTATCTGTAATTATCATTGCAAG